GGTGTCTGATGAGTGGTGTATGATGAGTGGTGTATGATGAGTGGTGTATGATGAGTGGTGTATGACGAGTTGTGTATGATCAGTGATGAGTGGTGTCTGATGAGTGGTGCATGTATGAACAGTGGTGTATGATGAGTGGTGTATGATGAGGGTGTATGAACAGTTCTTGAATGTCCGTAACACGGAAGTTTCGTACCCTAAACTTCCTTCGATGATCCTTTTTGCACTCAGGTTCGTACACAATTTGTATGTACAAGTATTGAGGTTTGAATATCTTGTACATTGATGCTACAATCGGCTACAATATGGAAAGCCGTTGTTGGTGGAATGGTTTAACTGTATTTCCTTCTCCAACTTAGATCACTCGCAATAGAAGCACTGTGCCTTGCTTGGGCATCACTGCCGGCTGCCGCACCTGCTATTCTGCCACCCAAACGCACTCCTAACACCTCTTCGGATCCAAGTCGCGTAGGTTCTGATAGAAGATCACTAGAGTAGCCCCACCAGCTGCCTAGGTGCAAGTTCATCGCTCCATCGTCGATGGCACGCAATGACAAGGTCACCACATGTCCGACAAATGGAAATCCAGGAACGCATCGAGATTCCCAACGCCTTCCCCCATATCCCCAATAATAGACTTACCGTCTCAACTCTCAGAATATCGAAGTTAGACTTCAAATGGCTCGAGGACCCCACAATCTCCACAAAAACCCAGAACTTGTCGAGGTCGTCCTGGCCCTCCGGACCCTGGCTTTCCTTGATGATGACCTGAGTCAACCAAAGGCAACCTGGCCCTGGAGGCTGAAGATATACTGTATATACTTTCTCCGATCAATCATCCAATTCCTGGATGTTCAGATGATTTTTCCCCAGCAGGGACTCACTGAAAGGCCAGTTAAGCTTGACAATGCAGCGTGGAGACAAAGACAAGCTCATACAGCTGGATAAGATCCAGGAAAGATAAACCATGATCCTACCAACAAACCCAGCATCACCATGCTCTCATCAAAAATCATCAAATGAACCGTGAACTCAGTAGTCGGGTGAATGCGGTCAGCCTTGGTTAGCCACAAGATCTTGTTCAACTATAGACAAGACAATGCAAATCACTGATGTCACAAGCTGAGACTGTCGCGCAGGCATAAAGGAGCAACATCACAAGAGCCAACAGGAGGATGACAATGCCCAAACCTCTCCGTTCGCTTCTCAAACTAATTAGTGCTCTCTGCGTGAGTCCGGTCCTGCGTGGTGCTTTGGTTGGGAACATTGCTTGATAAAAACCAATTACAATGGTCGATAATGATCCTTTTGGAAGAGCCTTTGAGGCCACCAATCCAGTTCCAAGTAACGAACATAGAATAGACACGAGTGAGAGAAGAATCTAAAGAAGATAGTTACCTGCATCCTGCAGCTGCGAGAATTTGACCAACAGCTCATACACATGCAAGTTCATTCTGTTCTTGCTATCCATTAGAGCATGAAAGCCCGATGTTGATTGCAGTTCCTCACCCTCCAGCTTCCCACAAGCTTCATCCTCCTGTCCGGATACCAAGCCTGTCTGTCTCAGCTCCTTGGGCTCCATGGTGAGCCGGTAGCCCTTCCGCTGAGCTGCGTGGATCGCCAAACGCCGCAAGTAGTCCACTGCCAAGAACCTCCGGCGGGCGCGGGCGCTGAGGCACCTCTCGGAGAATATATATATATATACAGTATACTATTAAAAACTATGAAACTCTTCTTCTTGCAAAAATCCGAGAGGTAAGCTGTCGCATTCTCAATGAGAAGTATCTCCATCAGGTTATATACTATACTTTCATCGGGAACCTGTTTCAGTCAAGATTGTTCCAAGTCAGAATCCACATACTCAATCTTCCAACATACTGCTTATGCTGCAGATCCCCCCACGTGACGTGTGGCCGACTAGAGCAATTGATTCATAGCACCGAGGCACATGATGATGGCGACAACAGCAGTCACAGAGAGCGCGACGGTGATGTACAGCAAAATGTTCTCCAAACTCAACAAGTCGCAAGTATCCTGAAGTTTGCCAAAAAGTGCCACTACAGTGCTGGCCCTGATGGGCACGGCCAATGGCTGATAGGCCCATCACTACGACCAAACATCAACAAGTTTGCTGTTTCTCTCTACCAAGTTGAAGAGTAGTTGACCATGTATGCAGTTGCGACTTAAGGCACTCAGGAACCTCCCTTCATCGTGACCCCCCCAAAGCACCTAGCAACGTTGGCTCTTATGAGCATCTTGCCTTGGAGATGTTGGAAGGTTTTCGTTGCTGGGTTCATCAAGTACTGGGTACTGGATTGGATGAACAACTGTGCACTGAAATTAGTGCCCATTGAATGGAAAGGTGCGTCACCTGAGAGTCATGGAGAGCCTTGTCAACATCCTCTAGCATTCAAGAAAGGGTTCCTGGACGAGCCAACTGCCTGGTTCAGTTTGTCCAGCTGGATCCAACATTCTCAACGGCGTGGAAAGAGTCTCCAAGTGCCACAAAGTCTACAGTGTGGTCCCAGATTGCTGGGGTCGGGTAGAGCTAGACCGACTGATGGCATCAATCGGATCTGATGTTGACACAATCTGCCGTGACTGTAGTTGGCCTGTTGCTGGTTGCCACTCAGAGGGTGGTATCGATGGTATTGCGATTGCCTCGTCCAATCCTGCCTCAGGCTGAGTGTACCAAGCGTCACTCAAAGCAACAACTCGAGCGACAACAATCTTCTGAAAGCCCACGAAGCCCACCATACCTTACATGGCAATCAGCTTGACAGCAAACTCAGAAGCCCAAAGAACAACAGCATCGGCAAAGCGCACATAGTAACTGTTTTATACTCTTCTGGCACGGGAAGCATGGAATTGGGCTAGAAAAATGTCTTCTATTGTCTTCTTGATCTGTGTGGACATGTCGAGACTATCTCTCGGGGGGTGGCACTTCTTTCCATCCAACGGCCAAGGGTTGATTTCGACTTCTGAACCACTGGGCCACCTGCCTGAGCTTTGTCACCTGCTTGGGCAAACTCATCGTGTAAGCAGCCGAGCGTCCGGCCAACGAGCTGGTGATGGAGTCAAAGGCCACACGAGGCCAACTGATCGCTTCTGGCTTGGAGGTCTTCGAGTCACCTGGTCGTGGGCCGCTGGGTCCCAGCTTGGTAGGGATCTCCCTTCTCTCCCTCGGCTCGGACCATCATGGAAGTGGAATATATAGGACGCTAGATATGGCAAACCCTTTGACAAAGGGGGTTCAGCTCAGCTTCCGCGATTGTCGCTTCCAAAGATATTTGGTGTCATAAACTGGTCATCTTCGAAGTGACATTAAAAAGTCTGCATGACCTGCTGGTTATGTGCAGGAATAGACTCATATTCAAGCTCATGAAGACCCTACGGCCCTACACGCCACCATAGTTGGAAACACGATAGCTGTCAACGTGCCGGTTGGAATGAACTACCACAGTGACGGACGGAATCTATCAATCTTGGATATATGTGATATATGAGCCTTGAGCCCTTCTGTAGTTCTGAATTGATTTGATCCGAGACACTTAGTGCAACGACTTCAAATTTAGTCTCGACATCAAAACGAGAACACAATGTGTCATGACACATGTGTCATGACACAACCCCCCAGAAGAAGAAATCAATAATATCCGGCATTCCCCGCCACGTGTCGCATGATACGGGATTCAGACCGTCTCCGGCCTGCGTTCTGCGTGACCTCCGGGGCGTCCGCAGTCTCCGGGTGCGGACTGCCTTGGCCAAGCTTTTATTAAGGCAACCAGTGGAAGAGCCCAAGAGACCAAAGCGCTGGGCCATGAGTGGAAGAATTCACCCTTCATGTTGTGGAAAGGGCAGTCTAGTTGCAAAGTTCCGCGGTAGCAAATCAATATAAATCAATTGTCATGGGTAAGCGCGGGAGCTAGGTGCAAACTATCCTACCAATTTGTTTGGTCTGACAGGCAATCCTTCAGTTTCATCCACTACTTTGCCACCTATTTGTCTGATGCTTTGGCTTAACAACAACTGTTCAAGCATTTGGACCACAATGACCCTGTGACAAGGGGCCACCCTCCTGCCCCATATACCCAAGCTAAATCCAGGCGCCAATGGCTTCTGGCTCGGCTGTGAGGGCGGAAGGCCTCCAAAGTAGCAAAATGAAGGCGACCACGACGGAGATGCACAGCCAAGCCACACAAATTGGCCTCAACGGATGAACCAGTAGCTGGTGCCCTGGGGATGCGGCTGAGGTGGGGAATGCGGTCGTCTTTCATCACCATGCATAACTTGTTTCTGAAGGGAGTGAGATGTCTGCAATTTTACGCCCACAGGTGGACAAGGATGATTTGATAAAACAACATGATTGGATAACCAAGGAAAAACACAAGAGCACCGATGTTGCTCTGAAATTTCCTCAATGAATTAGAATGCCGTTTGCGTATTGAGGTTTTGTGGCAAGGACCCTTAGAAGGCAAAAGAAAGCAATCACTTGTAGTAGTTTAAAATATGAAGGTGCAGGCTTGTTGGTCATGCCTTCCATCCTCAGTTGGCTCAGTTGGCCCACAGGAGGCCGTTCATAGTCACGTTTGCTGTGTAACTTCTCTCCTGGTGTTCCACCCCCTTCCACTCACAAGCCTCTCTGCTATAAAGGGGAGAATATGGGATAATGAGTCTTTCTGCATGATGTCAACACCCACTGTGTTTCTTCGGCTCCTCGCTGCCCAACATCAATCCATTGAGCCATAGCACAAAAGAATCCTGCTGGCGACGTCCAGGTGATCGCCCAGGTTGGCACCCACGCAGTGGTCCACTCTGGTCACAGAGGTGAACTCCTGCGACGGGTGGGAGGTCCCACTGAACATGGGCAAACTCCTCCACTGGTTGGTGTTTGTTTTGCACGCTAAGTGTGAATCATCTTGGGATCAAGGCAGGCATCTGGGACGTTCCCTGGGGAAACAACACAAAGATTAAATTAACAAATGAGATTGGCCAATACCAGTACTTGGGTTGCAATCCCAACCCCTCACTGTGACGGGTTGCTGCGTGAAGCTGGCAAGCCTGGTGAGATGAAGGGTGGTGAAGCAAGGAGAACCAACACCATGTGTGCTCGAACGAATGTGTCCAACTACGATTGGGTTGCACTTGCCAGAAGTTTGCGCGGGTGACTGCCGGATAATATTCCAGGAACCTGCCACCCATATGTTTCACCAAGAGAAGGATTTGAACACGGAACACCATCCATTTGCAATGCGCTGCGACTCCTCCTCGCCAACACCGCTTGCCACATCAGCGGTCACATTGGGCACATGGTAACGTGGGTGTAAGTCGCGCGTCTCGTCAGCTGCTCGGATCGCAAATGTTGCTCTGAGCAGCAGGACGAGGACCTGGGAAGATCCCCAACACGACAACTCACTATGATCTAGAAGGGGTGAACATGATGTTCATCGGTGATAAGTGGGCGCAACATCTTCAACAGGATTGACCCGGGGCACTTCAACATTGATGTCGCTGAATAATATATATATATTGATACTAACGACACAAAAACAAAGGACTCAAAACAACAAACAACATCAAACAACATGTATACTAGGGTGAGATGACTTAGGCCAATTGGGTCGAAATGACATACAACTTTCCCAGGGCAAGTCCTAAGTCATGTACAAATGTAAAATTTGCAATTTCATTGGCACACACTCATGACATAGGCCTTGTTGACCTGGTCCTGAGTTTTTTTTTTTTTTTTTTTTT